GGCAGGGGGGTTGGACTAGATGGCCTTTAGAGGTCCCTTCCAACCCAAACTATTCTATCATTCTATGAAAGAGCCACTCCTGTTATCATCTGGGCAAACCTTGAACATATTAGTGTATGTCTTTGCCTTAATAGTGTCATTCTTTGAATGAGTGTGATTGATACACAGAATTGCAGCTTGGTGGTTAATGAATGGGATTCTAACGTACTTTGTTTTGTTTGTTTGTAGCTGGAGGTTTACATTTTACTTCTTTCTTCACTGGATTTGCTGTCCTGTACGATGTGAGTACACCAGCAGTGCCACCTGCTGTTCTACCTAGCCAGTGCCTGCAAGAATGGCAGATTTTGTTGTCAAACATGTCCTTTCAGACCTTCTTATAGAGGTTTTCCCACCAGGTCAGTGTGTATCCTCTGCACAGCACACTTAATGAGACCACAAACATATTGGACCATGCTTATTTTAAAAACTCCAACTCAAAACCAAGAGGTTTCCTCTTCTTCTGGCAAAGCAGAAGACAATTAGGACTGGGTAAAAATAAATTTCTGTGGGGCAGGAGATAGAACACTTACCTGAGATGGAAGCTGCAGGGCCTGTTTGTGTGTTGTATCCAATACCTGTTTAAGGTAAAAAAACTCAGGCTTCCTTTGGAGCATGGACTGCAATTTAATCATTTATTAATTTTCTTTTCCTTACCCAAGGTGTGAGAGGTTCAGGCTCATGCCTCTGCCTTTTCTCTGATTTGATAAATAATGAGTTCTCTTGATATAAACAGAACTGCCTCAACAGAAGACTGAGACTTGAATGATACAGGTTTGAATCTTTGAGGCAGAAGAGGTAACCATGCATATGCTCTAATCACTGAGCTGTGTTCGCTGAGCTGGGACAAGGGGCACCGGTCATCCTCTGGCTGTGTTTTAAATGTTCCTCTGGCTCTTTTGCTGAGTCCGATTCCTTAGGTGAGCTTTGCAAAAGTCTTCTACACCAGCATCTTCTGAGGGGTTAAGTAATGGAAAACCTGCAGATCCCAAGACAGCAGGCACAAACTATGGTTGTAACTGGTCATTATTGTAACAAGTGAAGAACTTTTGGACTTATATTCTGACTTGAAAGTCAGTATAAGGTACCCTAGGAGTATGAGGATTACAGGATGACCCAGCAGAGGAGAGAAGGTGTCTAAATCCCAACTGCAGTGTTTTGTGGATCTGAACATCAAAATAGAAGGCTATTCTTTGAGGCCAACTATGCGTGTTTGTATGGATGACCTGCTTAGCATAGTACAAGAGCCCTGTGGCAACAGAAGGGGCAAAATCCTGTTCTTCTGCATGTTATCTGACCATTCTAGGAATGAAAGATCATCTTCACTTTTCATGAAAGTCTTTTCTTTATTCAGTACACATCTTCCAGTTTTCACAAAAAAAGGAGGCATCTGTCCTATGGGCAACAGCTCTAGATCCTGCAGCAAATAGCATGTTATTCTGTTATCTAAAATTGTACCAAAATGACTACATTAAAAAGAAGGACAAAGAATTAATGTGACAGGGCGTATTTGCATGTGACATTTCCTGACTTTTGCGTGTTTACTTTGTAATCTGAGTAGTATTTTAACATGCATTTGTTTTTGTGAAACACCCTTCTTTCTTTAGAAAAAAGCAAATGTTTAAATTCTGTATTAGTAGCTTTAGGCTGGTGGCAAAAACCTCTGCCCCATGACTCAGTGAAATAGCAATGGAAAGTTATCTCACAATAGGCCACCAGAAAACACCTTTACTTACTGAGAGTAGAGGAATGATGAAATTCAGGGATCTGGGGCTCCTTTCTAGTTTAGGTAACACAGTGTGCCATAGTTTTTTCAGAGTTTTTGCTTTGTCCTCTCTGATTCTCTATCACACATCTCTCCTGGTTCTGTACCTGTATTTGCTGTAAATCCTACTCCCAACCCCACTCCCAGCCAGGAGGAGGCTGTGTCTACTCCTAATTACCACTGCTCGCAAAAACCACTGCTTCCTGCTTCCCTTCCATATTGCTCATGCACCAGCAGGTGCTCAGTGAGAG